TGCGGACCGTGTCACGGGAGGGAAAATGGCCACGTATCCTGCTCATACCCTGAGGCGGAGTTCGCAAATCGAGGTAAATTTTTGCGGTGGTCGTAACCCGAAAAATTCGTTAACAGAGGTGTTCGTAACCCGAGATACCACTGTATACGTAAAATACTGTATATAAACATTGAGATTCCCTAAACAACACATTCTGTCTTTTGTTTGGCAAAGCAGTCTAAATTCAAATTACCTGTTAAATCCAAAGTTTACCAACTAGGAGTCTGTAAAGCCAAGATTTAACTGTAATTCATCCTGTTTATCCTTGCGGACTTCAGAATTATTATTGGGATTCCATCAGGGTGTTAAATAGGGCTATCGATATACAAAAGGAGGGATGGATAGAATTATTAAATTTATATGCTGCCCATCTGCCCAGGTGACCTCTGGGCAGCTCACAATTAAAATAAAACCCCAAAACAGTTAACTAAATTAATGTGGATATTTATATTTTTAAGTTGAACTATATAAAAAGACCATATACATAAAAAGACTGAAAACATTCAGGGGAGGAGTAGAATCAATTACCCCACGAGCCAATACCAATGGTGCGAGCCCCCATCCGGCCCCAAGGCCATCTGGCACAGCCAAGATTTCACCGCATCTCAGTTGATAAGTTCTTCCACAGAGCGGGGGCCACAGCAGAAAAGGCCCTCTTCCTAGACCCCACCAGTTGAAATTCTTTGACTGGTAGGGTCTGCAACATGCCCCTTCTGCCAGACCAAGTGGGGTGGGCTGATATAACAGGCAAGACGGCTCCTCAGATAACCTGGTCCTGTGCCATGAAGGGCTTTAAAAGTGATAACACCTTGAACTGGACCTGGAAGCAAACTGGCAACCAATGCAGCTCATGTAACAGAGATGTTATATGGGCCCTGGGAGCATTCAGAACTGTACGCACCGCTGCATTTTGTGCCAGCTGTAGCTTCCGGATACTCTTCAAGGTTTGCCCCATGTAGAGCACATTGCAGTAATCCAACCAGGAGGTGACCAGGGCATGAGTGACCGTGTGGAGGGCCTCCCAATCCAGGAAGGGGCGTAACTGACGCACAACATGAAGTTGCACAAAGGCCCTCCTAGCCAGGACTGCCACCTGCTCTTCGAGCAGGAGTCATGAGTCTAGGAGGACTCCCAGATTATGCACTGGGTCTGTCTGGGGCAGTGCAACCCCATCAAGAACCAAAGATGATAAACTCCTAGATCTTGAGGCTCACCATACCCACAACCACTCCGTCTTACCAGGGTTCAGTTGAAGCCTGTTGTCCCCCATCCAGTTCCCTACAGCCTCCAGGCACCGCGAAAGGGTAGCCACAGCATCACTTAGGTCACCTGGGATGGAGCTATATAGTTGAGTATCATCAGCATACTGATGGTACCTCATCCCATGGTGCCGAATGATCTCACCCAACAGTTTCATGCAGATGTTTTTCATGTAGATAGATTGCATTAATAGCTGTACATCTTTTCTGCTGCAATCTAACAATCAGATCGATTTTTGTAATCTAGTATGGTAGCCATAATTAAAACCTTTTTGTTTAGAAAAGGCTTTGGTTTTGAAAATTTGTTCTAAACACCTAATAGCTTGGAGGAGATTTTATGTTTTGATTAATACATTTCTTAGTTTGCTGCTATTTTTTATGGGAGGTTTTGTTCATCTGTTTGTTTCACTGCATCTTAAAGAAAGGCTTATTTAAGTATTTTAAATAAATCCATGTTCAGTCACAATTACCGTGCATGCACAATTGCAGTTGCTGGCTCACTCCCTTTCAAGGCATTATAGAAAAGTGAAAATAGCATAATTTGGGCTTCAACAAGTATTAGACAAACTATTGTGTGGAAACTATTCATAACTTTAGGTTTTAAAGCTGCTTCTCTTAAGACACAGATAAATGCATATTCTTTCATATAGTCAGTTTTGACATTCCTTGTTTTGGGTCAGGAATGGGTATACGAAATGGTACTGACAAAGATGCTGGTGACTTGCAGAAATGTTTCCGTGACATTGGATTTGATGTTTCCATCTATAATGATCTCAGCTGTAAGAAGATGAAGGAAATACTCAGTGAAGGTACTGATTTTTTTAACGTGGCTTCTTAACTATCTCCAGGTCTAGTTATTTGGACAACTTTTTCCAAGTTAATGCCGGGCAGATACATTGGGATAACTACTAAAAAATGCATAACCAGATGGCTGGGAATTCCAGGAACTGTAGCCTCAACACAAGGGCACAGGCTGGGGAAAGGGTAATACTGTAAGTCACATATTAACGTCTTTCTCTGGAGCTTTAGGATCATGAAATTGTATACCTATTTCATAATTTGTAATGTTTTAAGATTATTGTTACAACTAAGTGCTGCTTTTCATACACAGAATCTCAGAGGGGTTTATAAATCAAAAGAGACTCCGTAAATTAAAACCAGCACTTTATAAACCATAAGCTGAAATCAGCAGGAAGATGAAAGACCTAGCTGGAAAAATTTCATATTTAGTGGTTGTTGCTAAGAAAAGCTGAATGAAATGTTCATTGAACGATGGACGTTGTGGTTGATTTGTAGCTGCCAATGAAGACCACAGCGATGCTGCTTGTTTTTCCTGCATATTATTAAGCCATGGAGATGAGGGCCGTATCTATGGCACAGATGCATACATGGCAATCAAGGATTTAACAAGTCTTTTCAGAGGAGACAAATGCCAAAGCCTCATTGGAAAACCCAAATTGTTTTTTATTCAGGTAAGAAGCGTTTGATGTTTATTAGTTCTCAAAGGATAGAATGTTTGTCAAAACAAAACAAAGCCAGACATAGCCTGAGTCTGAAATAGCTTGACGTATCGGACTCTGATATATTCTAAAATACCACCAAAACTGCAAGTAAGAAGAGCCCCGAAGTCACAGACATTTTCTAGTAAAATACTGTATAAATACATTCGTGTGCTTTGGAGAAAATCTGAGCTGTCTTAATCCATCATTCCTTGAAAAGTCTGAATTGTTCCTTTTTCGTGCTGCTCATACAAATTGCAGAAAGTACTTGATTGTTCTCTTCTTACCTTTTCTGGGATGCAAATCTGTACTTTGTTCTGTAATGTTTTATGCCGTAGTGTGGGGAAGGGATACTAAGCATAGCTGGGCTGAGGCTAATTTTGTTGGCATATATGATGTGGGAGATCCAGGAGTGTAAATAATGAATAATAAATTAGGCCAGTAATTTGGATTTGAATAAGGAAGCTTCGTATCTGAAGCACAGTTGCCATGCCTTATCTGTCCAGACTTTCTTCTCTCATTGTTGACCTCTGTGACTAAGAAGCAAGGCTTTCTCTTGGTTATTATCTATTTTGGATAACCCAGGGGCAAGTATATCTCCCAAAACTAGGTGTCAGGATAATTTTGGATACTTTATGAATAATAAATGATATGCCCACTAGCTACAGCTACTTTCGTCATAGTCTAATAAATGAAATTCAGCTGAAACTTTTATGCTGGAGCCCTCAGACTTAAATGTTTTTGATGGAGCTCCTCAGTGTTTATCAGTGGTATAAGTCATTAATGTACATTATGTCACTTCAGTGCTTATCCTGGTAGAAATCATTAATGTACCCTATTTAATTTACAAAGTGTAAGTGTTATTTCAGTCATGACATGCATCTGTTAGAGAACTATCATAAAATGTTGTGATTCTTATTTACTGTGTGTCATTTATGCATAATACTGTTTAATACTATGGTTTCAGGCATGTCGGGGTTCTGAATTTGATGATGGGATTCAGACAGATTCAGGTTCTTCAATAGACACCCTGGAAATGGATGCTAGTCCAAGATACAAGATTCCAGTAGAAGCAGATTTTTTGTATGCATATTCCACCGTGCCAGGTACAGTTGGGGAGAAAAAAGTAACAATTTGACATAAGATGAGTTAGGTATAAAGGATGACAGAAAATGTAGGCATTTGAAAACTGAATGTTTGAAAAGGGGCTATTTTACAGGGACCATATTTTCTTTACAATGAATTTTAGCAAGGAAAGGTTACGTATTAGTGAGAACTTAGCATCTAGCAGGTATTGGGTGCTTGCTAAGGCAAAAATGGGAAATGATTATCTAATTGGGGCTAGAGGAAAGTTTGTTACCTTGTAACTAAGTAAGTAGGAATAGCTAGCTTGTCTAAGCAGTCTCTCTTCCAGGTGCTAATTTAAAAATTTGGGTCAATCACAGGCCATCCATGAATGCTGCATAGTAGCAATGTCCAGCTATTCAGGTCCATCCTGGGCACATTCGATGTAGCTGTCAGCAGCTCTGTAAAGGCAAATGCCTGTTGCTAGACTCGTGTGGTAGCCACGTGGTCCCAGGGAAATACAAATTTGAGTGAAAGAGGTGGGGATAGGGCAGTGAAAAGTGCTTACCCCCTGTTGCAAATTTCTTAATGCCCCCTTTTTTTCTGGGATCCGGGAGTTACTGTGCAAGCCCAGGAAAAGGCAGAGTTTCTTTACCAAGCTGCTGGCAGGTACAGCAACCTCATGCAAGCTGGCACAAAGCACCTTTCCATAGGACTGTACGTCCCTGCCAAATAGACTAATAAAAAAATAAATGAAGTATTGCCATTTTTGATAGAATGACTGCGTCAGTGGCCAGGCAAGGGTCCTTGATGAGCTTAGAAACATATTCTTAAAGAGCCATCTCATACAGCAGTGGAAATTCTGTTCTTGGTTAACATGGCTCATAACCATTAATTGAATTATTTTCCATAACACTAATTTCCTTTCAGGCTAGTTGTAAAAATGGTCATCAGAGTATCATATTTTAACAATTTATTCCACAAGTTAATTACTCTGTGTGTGAAAATACTTTGTTTGTCATGAAACTAGAAACTGTGACATTTATTATACAAGAAAAACAATGTGTCTCTCAAAATACTTTTCATATCCTAACTTCCCCATTCTTTATAATTTTAGAAAAAGTTATAGCTTATTAAAAATTCTTAAATTCCTTTTCTATGTGATATCTATCTCAGGGTCATTTTATTTCACACAATCCAGTAAGGCTTTATTACATATACAGAGGATATCAGTTTTCATTCCCCATTCTTTATAATTTTAGAAAAAGTTATAGCTTATTAAAAATTCTTAAATTCCTTTTCTATGTGATATCTATCTCAGGGTCATTTTATTTCACACAATCCAGTAAGGCTTTATTACATATACAGAGGATATCAGTTTTCATTCATTCATTCATTCATTCATTCATTCATTCATTCATTCATTCATTCATTCAT